AAAACGCCGATAAATGGTCATCATCCATTTTTATCAAACATGACAGTAACAAGAAAAAAAAACACACACACACACATATACTTATATACTTATATATATATATATATATATATATATATATATATATATATATATATATATATATATATATATATATATATACTTATATATATATGTATAATTTTGACAGTGATAACAGTAATAAAATCAAAGCAATAACAATGATAATATTGATAATAGTGATAAGAATAATAGTAATAATAATGATAATGATGACAATGATAATAATAATAAGCATAATGGAAATGATCATAAAAATACTTATGAGGATGAAGAGAAAGAGAATGATAGTAATAATGATAATAATAATGATAAAAACAACAACAATAATAATGAAAATAATAATATTAATAATAATAATAATAATAATAATAATAATAATGATAATAATAATAATAATAATAATAATAATAATAGCGATAATAACAGTAGTAATAATGACAATAACAATGGTAATAATTACAAATAATAATCATAATGGTAATAATAGTAATGATGATATTAAAGAAAATAACAAAAATGACTGGTAACAATGGAAATAACGATATCTCATACTAATAAAAATAATGATAATAACAACAATATTAATAATGATAATACTATTTACAATAAAAAATAACAACGATTATAATGATAACAATGATAATAATGTTAATAACAATAATAACGATAATAATATTAACAGCAATAATAACAATAATAATAATATTGATAACAATAATAACAATAATAATGTTATTATCATTGTTAATAACAATAACAACAACAATAACAATGGTGATAATGATAACAATAATACCAATGATAAAAATAATGATAAAGATAAAGATAATAATAATAATAATAATAATAATAGTACTACTACTACCACTTATAATAATGTTACATGCTGCATTACCATTTGCAATGTTCACTCTCTCTTACAATGTCCCGAAGCAGCGCCTTGTGAAATCAGTGTCAGAGCCTAAAAGGACCACTTCACATAGAAGGGACACTGCTTGAGGATCCGTAACTCCAGTATGCCAATGAATGTTCTAAGCTGAGTTATTTGATTTTTCTTCTCAGCTTGAGGATCCGCACTTCCTGGGAGAAAGATCTTCCACCATCTCGCCATATTTTCTGGGTTGATTCATGCCTGAGCTTGTGGGTGTTCAGGCTGTTTTCGTTTCGTTATGCCGTTTTGGTGTTATTATTATTTTTTTTACTTGGCTTCCGACTTTAAATTGTTTCTTATACTACGTTTTCTTTTTTGTTTTGTTTTTATCTACACAAGTGTTTTTATTAAGAGTTTCTCAGCACTAGTTTTTTTTTTAAGTTTATCTCCATTCTGGGTTAGAGAATAACTTTTTAAAAATTAGGGTTTGATGTGTTTCCGTGCTAATACTTATGGAGTTGGGGCGCCAACGTAGGGGTAAATATATGTTTTTGAGTTATTTTTATGTACATCTGGTGTTAGTTTTCACGTGCATCACCCCGCTGTGATAAATTGGTGCAGCACACACCTTTATCTGTTTTCTCGTGACTGAATTATTTGTAGACCTCCCTAATGAGTGCCACTTGCACAATAAATATCATACTATCGTAGAGCTTTCACTCAGTCCCAGTCAGAACAAATGACATTTCTGGTTCTGACCAAGGCTAGAAACGTTCTTGAGCTCGGGCCTCCTAAACAGTACATTGCTGGTTACTCTGATACTTCGCAACACTGAAAGGCTGTAAAAAGGCTAGCTGAATAGGAGTATATAAAGCTGATATTCTAGAATAGAACATAACTTTTGCTATAGCAAAAGTTATGGGTTCCCGCTTCCAGCAGGTGAATGCTTAGACCGAAGGGAAAAAAAGAATACTATGATTTTGCATTTTTCTTCCACACACGTCCCCGCAGACGCTCAGCCTACGCTATCTCCCTTTTCACACTTACACACTTATACATTCAACATTCAGCACAGATTCTGTATTCTCCTTCCACCCTTCTCTCATCCAACATTCACACCCCCATACACAACATACATGGTTCCTGAACCTACTGATCGGGTGGTGGTACCGTGCCGTAAACCGGGGACAATACATCTGTTCACTGCAGACGAATCTTTTCCTGAATATATATATTTTTTTTATTCTCATATGAAAGTCTACTTGGTCTACGCCCTGCTACAACAAGAATAAGAGTTATAACAATAATAGTAATAAGAATAACGCTAATACTTATGATAACAACAATAATAATAACAATTATTATTATCATTGTTATTATTACAATTGATATTATTATCATTATCACTACTATTATCATCGTTATTATTATTATCAATATTATTACTAATATTATTATCATTATTATTGTCAATGTAATGGAAATAATGATACAAATGATAGGTCTATAATAATGATAATAATACTAATGCACTACTACAAATGATAATTATAATAATAACAATGA